TGGGTAACAAGAGCGAAACTCTGTCCAAAAAAAAAAAAAAAAAAAAAGTGAACATTTGAGTATTTTCATCAACATATACTTAAGTACTTCTACATATAGGTGAAGGGTAATGGTTTCTTTTCATTTCTAAGGTTGGAGAGCCAAAATACTTTACAACTTCAGACCGGAGAAAAGGCCAGCGGTGTGAAGTTAGACTCTATGATGAAACAGAATCTTCTTTTGCCATGACATGGTAACCACCCACATCTCTTCCAAACTGTGAAATCCCTATTGTTATCACCGGGATATTTTCATTTTATCAAAAAGGTGATGGATTTCATATCCAGAAGATAATGATAGGAGATGAATGATACTTTAAAAAATCAACCTTAGTCTTGAATGTTGAGTTGCTATGGACACCAGCTTAAAATGAGGTCTTTAGATGGCATAGAATTGCTTAGGACTCTACCATCACCAGTTTTATTATTGAATTCTGTTTTATAATGAACTGTGTTTTATTAGGTCCCATGGAACAAGCAAGACTCTCCCTCCATGCTTCCTGGGAAGTATACTGGAGCAGGACAGGGCACAGGGAATGTGGGGCAGGGTGGGGGCTGCTGCACCCTGAAGCACTGCCAGGTACAAGGCATTGTCTAGACCCCTGATGCTTGTGTACCAAAGGAAATGATCTGAAAAGTGCCTTCAACCCATCAAGACTGCTAAGCAAGTTATCTGCTAGAGGGCCCTTACCTTCGTGGTCTAAAAGTATGACTTTAAAGTCTTTAGGCTTTAGTTCTAAGTAGCCTGGAGTGATTAAGTGTTGGGAAAATAAATTGGCAAAGCAGAGTATTACTAGAGAAGAGTGTGTGTTAAAGGAATGCTCTCTCATGGAGATGTTAAATTCTCCATGGGAGGGACAAGTAAAAACTGGCATCCTTAAGACCAAGAGGTCTTTGACCACCTTGGGAATGGCTGACCCCAGCCACTGAAGCTTTTTTGTTGTTGTTGTTGTAAATAATGTGTCACTATTGGTTTTTTCTAGTATATTCAATTTGTATTACTTCTTTTTAAACAAATGCAGTTGGGATAGTGAATCCATTCTACTTGCACAGTGCTGGATGCCACGAGAAACAGGTATTATTATCCAGTGATTGTGTTCAATATTTGTCATTTTATAACCTCCCATGTAATAATTTTAAATGACTTTTTCCCCAAACAGTAATATTTGCCTCGGATGTAAGAATAAATTTTGACAAATTTCGAAACTGCATGACAGCAACTGTAATCTCAAAAACCATTATTACAACTAATCCAGGTAAAAAGCTTTCTGAAACCTTTTTATCCCTTTGGAAATGACTGGACACATTTCAATATTTATACAGTATATTTAAGACTGAAAATTCAGCCTGGATTTAATTCATATTAGAAGTACAAATTGCTTTATATAACTTTTAAAAAAACTTACGATGAACTTTGATATCTTTACTAAAGAAATGTGAGGCCAGGCCAGGCCAGGCCTGGTGGCTCGCGCTCATAATCCCAGCACTTTGGGAGGCTGAGGCGGGTAGATCATGGGGTCAGGAGATAGAGACCATCCTGGCCAACATGGTAAAACCCCATCTCTACAAAAATACAAAAATTGGCTGGGCATGGTGGTGGGCACCTGTAATCCCAGCTACTCGGGAGGCTGAGGCAAGAGAATTGCTTGAACACAGGAGGCGGAGGTTGCAGTGAGCTGAAATCACACCACTGCATTCCTGCCTGGTGACAGAGCAAGACACCAACTCAAAAAAAATAAATAAAGAAGGAAAGAAAGAAAGAAACGTGAAAAACCAGATTAATTTTTAAAGTATAATCCATTGTGATAATTTTTGAGGGATCAATCTTATTGCTTAGATGACCTAAATTATTGACTATTTAAAAAGTAAATTCAGTTTTGCTACATTCAAATAACTTTTACTGCTAGGACATAACATACACACACATACATAGAATTCTGTGTAGTATCATTAACTCAACTGCACATTAAATGCCCAGATGATACCCTGAAGTGGTTGTTAAAGAAGTTACAGTTGGCCGGGCGCGGTGGCTCAAGCCTGTAATCCCAGCACTTTGGGAGGCCGAGGCGGGTGGATCACGAGGTCAAGAGATCGAGACCATCCTGGTCAACATGGTGAAACCCCGTCTCTACTAAAAATACAAAAAAAAATTAGCTGGGCATGGTGGCGCGTGCCTGTAGTCCCAGCTGCTCAGGAGGCTGAGGCAGGAGAATTGCCTGAACCCAGGAGGCGGACGTTGCGGTGAGCCGAGGTCGCGCCATTGCACTCCAGCCTGGGTAACAAGAGCGAAACTCCGTCTCAAAAAAAAAAAAGAAGTTACAGTTTACTAAAGCATGAAATCAAGGGAGCCAGATCCGGGAGAATGAGGGGTTAGTGCCTGTGAGCATTCCCAGGGTGCTTTAGAGTGCAGATATAACCGTCAACCCAGTACTGGCAAAGAAATGGAGTAATCCTTTTCCATCTCAAGAAGCTGTGAGTATAGTATGTAGGGTATCATTTAAAGCATACAGTCACTCTGCTGGTCTGTGACAAAGCATCAGCAGTGACAGAATTATAAATAAAGCAATGTATGCTTGTGACCAAATGTATGCTTTTGACAGGATTTTTAAAAGAGAATTACTATGAGGAATGGTGTAAAATAACAAGGCTCTGGTTTTTTTTTTTGTTTGTTTGTTTGTTTGAGACAGAGTTTCGCTCTTGTTACCCAGGCTGGAGTGCAATGGCGCGATCTTGGTTCACCGCAGCCCCAGCTTCCTGGGTTCAGGCAATTCTCCTGCCCCAGCCTCCCAAGTAGCTGGGATTACAGGCGCATGTCACATGCCCACTAATTTTTGTATTTTTAGTAGAGACGGGGTTTCACCTTGTTGACCAGGATGGTCTCGATCTCTTGACCTCGTGATCCACCTGCCTCGGCCTCTCAAAGTGCTGGGATTATAGGCTTGAGCCACCGCGCCCGGCCAAGACTCTGGTTTTTATATAAGTACTCTGAATGTTGCACACCCATCCCATGGATGTTGTCTCCTTGAAGGCAGTACCACCGTAGGTGATGTGCATGCCCTGAATTGTTCTTCACAGAACTCAGTTACTGAGCACCTGCTGTGTGCTGGTTGCTGTTCTGGGGTCCATCAACAAAATGGACAAATATTTCCACCCTCATGGAGCTTACACTCCAGCAGGGAGAGATGGAGAATAAATAATGAAGATAATATGTTCGTGAATTATGATTTTTTTTTGAGATGGAATTTTGTTCTTGTTGCCCAGGCTAGAGTGCAATGGCACGATCTCAGCTCACTGCAACTTTTGCCTCCCAGGTTCAAGTGATTCTCCTGCCTCAGCCTCCCGAGTAGCTGGGATTACAGGCATGTGCCACCATGCCCGGCTAATTTTGCATTTTTAGTAGAGACGGGGTTTCTCCATGTTGATCAGGCTGGTCTCAAACTCCCGACCTCAGGTGATCCACCCACGTCGGCCTCCCAAAGTACTAGGATTACAGGCGTGAGCCAACCTGCCTGGCCGAATTATGAAATACTTAAGGAGAACAGGTGGAATAGAATCAGGAGGACCTAGAGAGCCACAGTATGTGTGATATTCCACAAGGTGGTTCAGGCGCGCTGCATGGGAGGGTGACATTTGAGCAAAGACTTGAGGAGGAGGCTAAAGGGTTAACCAATGGAAAGCCCTGTGCCTGCCTGTGGGAGGAACAGCCAGGGGCTGGTGTTGCTGGAGCAGATGGCGCTTGGGGGAGAGGGGCAGGAGCATTCTGAAAAGAGATGGAGGCACCCATGAAGAAGGCCTCACAGGCTGTTAGAGTGTGCTGGCTTCCACTCTGGACGGTGTAGCAGGTTGGGTTTGGAGCAGAGCGGTGACAGCATCTGACTCAGTTCTGAGAGGATCACTCTGACTCCTTTGTTGGAAATTGATGGTGACACATGATAGTCTGTTATTAACACTTAGGACAACAGCACTCTACTCTTCAATTTTTTTCTTTCTTGGAGGGGAGTACTATGGTTTATTATTAGACATAATTTATTAATAAAAATAGTTTATTATTTTTTTTTGAGACGGAGTCTTGCTCTGTCACCCAGGCTGGAGTGCAATGCCACAATCTTGGCTCACTGCAACCTCCACTTCCTGCGTTCAAGCAATTCTCCTGCTTCAGCCTCCCAGCTTGTTGGGAGTACAGGTGCCTGCCACCATGCCCAGCTTATTTTTATGTTTTTAGTAGAGACAGGGTTTCACCATATTGGCCAGGCTGGTCTTGAACTGCTGGGCTCAAATGATCCTCCTGCCTGGGCCTCCCAAAGTTCTGGGATTACAGGCGAGAGCCACTGCACCTGGCCTATCATTCTTTTTTTTTAGATGAAGTCTCATTCTGTCGCCCGGGCTGGAGTGCCGTGGCCCAATCTCCGCTCACTGCAGCCTCCGCAATTCTCCAGCCTCAGCCTACTGAATAGCTGGGACTGCAGGCACATCCCACCACATCTGGCTAGTTTTTTGTATTTTTAGTAGAGACGGGGTTTCACCCTGTTAACCTAGGTGGTCTCAACCTCCTGACCTTGTGATCCACCTGCCTTGATCTTCCAAAGTGCTGGGATTACAGGCATGAGCCACTGTGCCCAGCCCGGCCTATTATTCTTACATTTAGGTGGATTTGTCTGATGGAAAAGATGATTAAGCTTGACAGTACAATGGTATAGAAAACTCAAGCTCTAATTAATGAGACGTATTTTAGGGTGTTGTGCATTTGGCTCTGATGACAGATTCAAAGAAAAAATGTCAAAGTATTTTGAGCAACAATCAACATTATTAGAAAAGATGCCTTCTTGGCCTGGCGCAGTGGCTCACGCCTATAATCCCAGCACTTTGGGAGGCCGAGGTGGGTGGATCACGAGGTCAAGAGATCGAGACCATCCTGGTCAACAAGGTGAAACCCCGTCTCTATTAAAAATACAAAAATTAGCTGGGCATGATGGTGCGTGCCTGTAGTCCCAGCTACTCGGGAGGCTGAGGCAGGAGAATTGCTTGAACCTAGGAGGCGGAGGTTGCGGTGAGCCGAGATCGTGCCATTGCACTCCAGTGTGGGTAACAACAGCGAAACTCCGTCTCAAAAAAAAAAAAAAAAGAAAGAAAAGAAAAGAAGAGAAAACTACTTGTAACTGCTAATCATCAAAATGTATATTCCATCCAGTCAACTTAAATCTATGTTCCCAGGTTACAATCTTCAAGCTATCCCAAATAAACTCTCATGTTAATTTTGCCTCAATTTCTTCCTTTTAGATTGATGCCAGGAACCTGAATATCATGGATCCTGCTCTCAACTGAGTCATGAGGACTGCACTAAGGTAGTAGTGTTTGATGCAAGATGGGACAATTTGATTTTCTCTTGTGGGAATTTAAAACATTTCCAGAGAGAAAAGCTTCTCATATTGAGTTATTTAATGGCGCATTCAAAAGAAGGTCCATAAGTTTGCGGCACTGATATCTCCTGCTCGGTCACAGCACTGATATTTCCCAGGCACAGGTTATGCACCGCTTTTTTTTTT